CCGGCCGTGCCCCTGCGCGGGCAGCCCAGGGTGCTGCGGGCTCCTGCCCTGCTCGCTGCCCGCCCGGACGCCCAGGACGCCTCCCCTGGAGCTGCTTCCCCGGCCTCCCCTTCCCTCTGCTTCCCAGAGCGGGACGTGGCAGCTGTCCTTGCTGAGCTTCCCGCAGTTCCTGTCGCCCGTTCCTTGTGCCCCAGCCCCTCGGGGGGCAGCCCTGCCCTGGGGGGACAGCCCCCAGGTTGGTGACGTTTGTGACCTTGGCGAGGTGCACTCTGGGCCTGCCCTGGGCCGTCGCTGAAGATGTGAAGCAGGAGGGGTCCCCGGGCTGGTCCCTGTGGTGCTCCCTGTGTCACCCCGCTCCAGGCAGAGCGCAGCTCATGAACCACCACCCTCTGAGCTCAACCCTCCAACTCGGTTTTGACACCCCCGGTTGTCCGGCCCTCCAGACCATAACATCCTGCCTCGGATATGAGGAGAAGGTGTCAAAATCCTTCTTGAAGTCAAGGCATTTGTCACCCACAGCTGTCACGCCTTCAACCACAGACCCCATCACTGCATCACAGCAAGCACAGGACAGCCGATCCGTGCTGGCTGTTCCCCTCCCAGGCTCCTCCGTGTGGCCAAAAACACGCTCCGAGCGGACTCGCTCCGTGATTCTTCCAGGGTCTAAAGTGTGGCTGACAAGGGTGTAGATCCTCAGATCATCCTTTTGGCCTTTTCCGAAGGTGGGGTGCAGTGTTTGCTTTCCTCCAGCTCAGGGGCCTCCCCCGATCTCCACCACGTTTGGAAGCGCAGCGCTGCAAGTCCGTTTCTGGCACAACCAGCATCCGTTGGCGCAGCCCGGTGGGGCCCGTGGATTCATACGGATCCAGGTCACTGAGAAATCCTGCCTCGGTCTTCATCCCTGTCTGGTAGCTCCGAACCCTTCCAAAAAGCGTGAAGGCCTGGGACACCTTGCTGGTGAAGACAGAGGTGGAGGAGGCACTGAGTCTCTCAGTCTACATCACCCACCACGCTTGGAAATGGGCCCTTACTCAGCTTTTGACTACCAGTGCGGTGGCAGAGGCTTTTCTTAGCACCTCCATTAGTCCTTGCAAGTCTCAACCCCTCTCGAACTTCGACTTTCCTGGCACCATCCCTGCATGCCTGGGCAGTGTTTATACATTCCTCCTTTGCAGCTTCCCTCTGCATCCACCTGCCCTGTGCTGCCCTACTGCACTGCAGCCTGGCCCCAAGGCCCTGCTTAGCCAAGGCCGTCTGCGGATACTTCTCCTCATTTTCCCTGCGACTGGGATGGCTGTTCTTGGGCCTGGAGCATGCTGTCCTGGGGCTTGCCAGCCTTCCTGAGCACCCTTGGCCTCAGAGCTGCCTCCCGTGGGATCCCTCCCACCTCCCCTTCCCCGGAGCGCAGTGTCTGTGCTCTGCTGCTCCCTTCTCGCTCCAACAGCCGGTTACCGCATCCTCCGTCAGCCCTCCCTTGCCAGCGAACAGCAGCGTGTCGCCCTGCTCGGCCTGGGAAACTGAAATTCTGTATAATTTCACAGGTCTGTGATCCAGAGGGTTCTCTCAGGTACCGCTGCCTCCTTGGCAGCTTCAGCTCAGGGATTTCCTGGCCCAGCACTGATGCCCTTGTGTTTAAAGCCTTGAGAGGATTTTTCTCTCTGAACGTGGGGAGCTGCTTTCTGAATCTGCTCAGGTCGGTATCACGGTGCCCTGAAGCGAGGAATTCCATTTGCATTTGTGTTGAACCCTGCTGGAGAGCAAGCAGCTGTGTGGAGCCCTGAGCCAGGCCCCGCCAGCACACCCTGCCCGCTGCCCTGCTTGGAGAGGGCAGGCGCGGAGGGACCCGCCAGCACGACCCGGGGCACCGCGGAGTGTTCGGGGATAGCTGGGGTGGGGACACTGGAGGAAGTGGCAGTACAGGGAGGTGATGGGGGTGTCTCTAGGGGTGCCCTGGGAGCGTCTGGATGGGCCCTGGGATGTGATGGAGCACGAGGGGCGGGCAGGGATGGGCTGTGCTGTGGGAAGGGGGGGGCTGTCGCAGGCACGGTGGGCAGTGGCTGGGGGATGCCAATGCTGCCCGGGGCTGAGCGGGCTCCGTGTGAAGGCTGGGCTGTGCCGGGAGCGGGCTGTGGGCAGGAGGAGAGGACAAGCACGGAGGGAGAGTAGTGCTGCACGTGCTGCCGCACAGCTGGGGCAGGCTCCAGAGAAATACCGAGCTTGCAGCCAAGCACATCCTAACCAGGCCGAAACAGGCGGGAGCGCTGGCCCTGCGCGGCTCAGAAACCCTGACCTCATCCTAGGCTTGAGCAGGATGCTCTGAGGACCCTCAGCCTCTCTCTCCTCCAGACCAAGGAGCAGATTGCTGTCAGAAACATCTCCCATATCCAGGAGCAGGAGGCGTTAATGCAGCCATTATCTCCTGATGGCAAAGGGTTTCCCTTTGGAGAGTGGGGTCCTACAGGGCAGAACAGGAAAGCTGCAGGCCAGAAAACACTCTGACCACGCAGGTGGTTTACCCAGGAGGGGATGGGTGCCTGGTCCACCGGCCAGCGCCAGCACAGAGAGGGCTTCTGAGAACAGCCACCCTTAGTCTTACAGTGGCAGGATCGGGCTTGGGGGTAGCGGCAGCGATCAGAAGTAGCTCTTCAAGGGAGAATGTATGAGCCATCGGAACAATTCACCATGGCTTCCTTCTCGCTGGCTGACTCAGCAGGAGCACCTGGACTCGCTGTCGGAGGTCCCTGCCGCAGGGAGCACCCTCCGGAGTCCCAGCTCGGGAGGAGGCTGGGCCCTGGCAGCGCTGCCGTCCCACGGCACCTGCGTGGGCAGTGCCCCTGCCCTTGTGCTCTGTGAACGCTTCTGTTCACAGCACGTGGGTTTTCAGCTTCGTGCTGTGCCCTTGGGCAGAAGTACAGCGGGACTTTGCCTCTGCACGTTGTGCCTGGTGTATCTGTGGTGATTGTGCGGGTGTCCTATGCGGATGAGGTGACCCCACAGCTTTGTCACACCTCGTATCTGCGTGCTGACCCTGCAGGCTCCTGTGGGTGTCTTGTTCCCAGCCACAGCCTTCTCCTCCTCTCCTTTCTCCTCTCACACAGCTCCTCCTGGGAGCAGCCAGTCTTGCCCTGCAGGATGTCCAGCGAAGTCCGAGGTGAGGGTGCTGCAGGACCCCTGCTCAGGCTCAGAGCTCTGACTCCTGCTCCCACATATTCAAGCAGAGGCCTTGCACAACCTTGCACAACGGGGTGTTTCCTGGGCTGCCCATAGACAGCTTGACCCCATTTCCCTCTTATTTCTCACGCAAACATCAGGAGCCTCCTAAGTAAGCTACAGTCAAACCAGCTGTTGATCCAAGATTTGGGGTGGGTGCTAAATACAAGGGCTGCCCTGCATTAGCTTCCAGCAGAGTTCCTGGAGAAATACCCAGACTTGGTTTACAGATTTCCGGGAGCAGGGAGTTCACCACACGCCTTGATGAGCCCTCGTGGTGGCCAGTTGTCTCCACGGCTGAAGTGTGCACCATGTCCCAGGCTGCGTGCGCTCTGGGTCCCGGCTGGACGAGGCGCCTGCCAGGCCCCGGGGCCGACTG